TCCGGCAGGGGAAGGAATACACAATCAAACCACAGGGCTTCCCAGGTCGCTAGCCAGCGAAATCCCTGTGAGAAAAACATCACTAGACATACGATGAAAATGAAGAATCCATACAAAGTGGCTACATGGAATGTAACAACCTTATATGAAGCCGGTAAGTTGAGAAATCTACTCTCTGAAATGGACAGATTAAACATTACTATCATGGGGGCGAGTGAAACAAGATGGCCAAACAAAGGGAATTTCAGTGCAAATGGTTACGCCGTTTATTTTTCTGGAAATCAAGACCATATGCATCGAAATGGAGTAGCAATAATTATCAAACAGCATATTAATAAGTATGTCACTAACTTCATCCCAATATCAGACAGAGTAATTTTAATACAGCTGAATGCTAAACCTGTAAATATAAATATCATCCAAGTTTATGCTCCCACTGCTGACGCAGATGAGCAGAATATTGAAGAATTCTACCATCAAATAGAAGAAGTACTAAAAATAACAAAGAAACACGAAGCAATAATAATTATGGGTGACTTCAACGCTAAAGTTGGACAGAAGATGACGCAGGGGATCACCGGAAAGTTTGGCTTGGGAGACAGAAATCAAAGAGGTGAACGGCTAATAGAATTCTGCCAAGAAAATGACTTCGCCATTACAAATACCTGGTTTCAACTTCCAGAAAGGCGTCTTTACACGTGGAAATCCCCTCAAGATGGACATCAAGGCAGAATAGTACGGAATCAAATAGACTACATCCTAATAAACCACCGATTTCGAAACAATATTAAAGATGTAAAAACTTACCCCGGCGCTGACATAAACTCAAATCACAATTTACTCTGCTCCAAAATACAAATTAAATTGAAGAAATTAACAAAGCCAACTAAGCCTTGTAAGATATATCTCGACCCCCTGAAAAACCCTCAAACTCGCGAACACATAACACAGCAAATAAATAGTAAAATACACAGAATATCAAATATACCAAACGAAAACAGAACCATTAACGAATGCTGGTATGCCATTCAAAACTCGATTTTAGAGAACGTACAAGAGTATTTGAAAACACCTACCATGTTGGCAAAAAATGAGTGGATGACACAAGAAATTCTAGATCTGATGGAAGTTCGACGGCAACACAAAAATAGAAATATTATCGAATATCGTGAAATTAATAAACGCATAAAAAGAAAAATTAAGCAAGCCAAAGAATCCTGGCTTGAGAATTTATGTAAAGAAATAGAAGACCTCCAAAAAAAGCATGACAGCTTCAACCTGCATAAGAAACTTAAATATACTGCCGGAATTAGAAAACAGAAAAATGCTCACATACTTAAAAGCGCGGACGGAAAAATTTGTGATCACGAACAACAGTGCAAAGAATGGGAGAGATACATCACTGACCTTTTTGACGATGCTTCTAGGGAAAATGCTCCAAATACTGCCTATGACAACCAGTTGGACAGAGGTCCCAATATACTGAATTCGGAAGTCGAAAAGGCAATACAGCAAGCCAAAAACAATAAAGCACCTGGACCAGATCAAATCCCTGCCGAACTACTTAAACTTTTGGATGAGGAAAGCATTGCCTGCTTAACCACTTTCTTCAACAAAATTTACAACGAAGGAAAAATACCAGATGATTGGTTAGAGTCACTGTTTATAACATTACCAAAGAAAAGCAGGCCCACCAAATGCAGCGATTTTAGACTAATCAGTTTGATGAGTCACACACTGAAGATACTCTTACGAATTATACAAAACCGAGTATTCCTTCTATGCGAAAGTAAGATGGGTGATAAGCAATTTGGATTTAGAAACGGTCTAGGAACTAGAGAGGCACTATTCTGTATGCGCATTCTATTACAAAAAAGTTGTGAATTCCGAAAGAATGTTTATGTTTGTTTCATCGACTTCGAGAAGGCGTTCGACAGAGTCCAACACAATACACTTTTCGACTGCCTACGGGCAGCAGGACTTGACCACTATGATATAAGACTGCTGAAATACTTATATTACAATCAAGTAGCCTCTATCCAAATTGGAGACAGTCCCACTGAAAAAATACCCATCAAACGTGGAGTACGGCAGGGTTGTGTTTTGTCACCCACTCTTTTTAATCTGTACTCTGAAGAAATCTTTAGGGAGGCTTTGGATGACAGACAAGAGGGAGTAAGACTAGGTGGAGAAGTAATCAACAATATTAGATACGCTGACGATACAGCCATTCTTGCAGAAAGTTTACAAGATCTCCAAACATTACTAAATCTAGTCAGTGAAGCAAGTTATCGGAGAGGCCTAAAAATCAACATTTCAAAGACAAAGTGGATGGCAGTTGGAAAGATCCATATAGATCAAGGTCTACTTTCTCTTAATGGAGAAGAGATAGAAAGGGTAAATCATTTCAAATACCTTGGCAGCTGGTTAAATGTAAATTGTGACTCTGATGAAGAGATAATATCCAGGATCGAAATATCACGTAAGGCTTTTATGACCTGGAAACCAGTTTTATGCAACAGAAACCTGTCAATGAACATTCGTAAGAAGGTCCTGAAATGTTATGTGTGGTCGATCCTATTGTATGGTTGTGAGACATGGACGTTAAAAACCACAATGCTAAACAAGTTAGAAGCATTCGAAATGTGGTGCTATAGACGAATCCTAAAGATATCGTGGGTCTCGCACACTTCCAATGAAGATGTTCTTCAAATAATCAACTCAGAACGTCTGCTCATAAACATCATAAAGAGGAGAAAAACAGAATACTTCGGCCATATAATTAGAGGACCCAAATACCATTTACTTCGCCTTATAATACAAGGAAAAGTGGAAGGAAAGAGATGGATTGGTCGAAAGAAACTTTCATGGCTGCGTAATATTAGACAATGGTGTGGTTTCACAGTAGAAGAATTATTTCGCGCAGCAGCCGACAGAGAAAGGTTTCAGGAAATTGTAAGCATGATGACGGCCAACGTCTGAATACGGACACGGCACCCAAAGAAGAAGAAGAATATTAAATTGGTGCAGCATACGTTGTAAATCATCTTCACTTTGAGAGAGTAGTTTTGCGTCGTCTGCATAGCAGATTATTTTAAGTTTATTTTCTCCGATTTGGTTTTTAGTTCTTACTTTTTAATTATTTTATCCATAATCAGGTTGAACAATAGAGGACTTAGGGAATCTCCCTTTCTTATCGTAATGCCAGCTTCAATAGGGTCGGTTAATTCTTTTTCTACTTTTACTTTTATTGTGTTGTTTTGGTGGATATTTTTGATCATTTTGATTGTTCCTAGAGGTATCTCTCTTGCGTATAATAAGTGGATAACGTCCTTTAATTTGACCTGGTCAAATGCCTTCTTAAGGTCCACGAAACAGATAAGTCGGTTTGTTGTATTCTAATGATTTCTCTTGCACTTGCTGCATTATAAATCTAGCGTCAGCGCATGGTCTTGCCGACCTAAAACCTTATTGTTCTTCTGCTAGTGTTATAATTTCATTCAGTTTATTTGTTATCACTTTGGTTGTTAATTTTAGTATTGTGTTTAATAAATTAATTCCTTTGTAATTTCCGGATCCGATTTGTCTCCCTTTTGAAGAGAGGTATTGGGATGCTTGATCTCAATTCTTGAGTAATTCTGTTTTGTTCTAATTATTTTTTGGATTAGTGTTAATATTTGTTTGGTCAGATCTGATCTTCCGTACTTTAGGAGCTCGTTCGGTATTCTGTCCTCTCCTGGTAATTTTCTGTTTTTTACTTTCCTTAATGCTTTCTTTACCTCTTCTTCCTCAATATTTATTTCTTTGTTTGTAGTCACCTCTGGTGTTGTCATCTCTTTTCTTTGTCCTCTGATCATTTTTTTATGTTCCCTAGAAGTCGTGTTCCATCTGTTTTGAGAAGCTCTGCCAGTGTTCCCTTTTTATTTGTTTAACTAAAGTATTCGTTTCATTTCTGATTCGTTTATAGTGGTTATATGCTTGTTATGTTTGTTGTATTCTGTATTGTAAAAAGGATTTTTTCTTTCCTTTACGTTTCGTTTTCACTTCCTCTCTAAACCATGGTGGTTTCTTTTCAACGTTATTTCCAAGTTGCCTAATTTACCTGGATTATCTTGCAGAATTTTAAGAATTAACGGTTCGATTGCGTTTTGTATCATCTCCAGATATACTTCACCGGTTAAGTTAGCATTGAGAAAAACAGGCCCAACTATGTGGTTTCCCAAAGTGCCTGCCCAAATATTTACTTTTTCTGGAAATTGATTATTGCCCATTATTGGAGTGATACAAATCCTCATGACTTTCACGAAAGACATGAGGATTTGTATCACTCCAATACCTAAAATTATGTGTATTAACATTTCCATTTGGGGAAAAGTACTGTTGTCACTAAAACAAATTGTTTTGATTTAATCTGACTGTTGATTAATTTGATTGGACATATTTTCACGAATTCTAGTCTTCGGTCGGGATGAACATCAGAAAATTGTATGAATATATTGTATGCAAAATTTTTAATTTGTATGAATATTTATTTTTAGCCAACACTCGGTTTACTGTTCTTTGACTGATTTCACAGATATACACAAGTTGGGTTGTAGAAGAAGTAGGGTTCAAAATCAAGTGCTCGACATAGGGCAGTTGAGTTACCTCTCTTGAAAAAGACGTTTCGCTGCATCGAAATGTGGCATGTTTCTACACCAATTATTAAGACAGCTGCTACTTTGTCGGCTACAGCACGTACTATTCTGCCTATGTAAACATTTAAACGTCTTGTAAAATAAGAATTAAACTAAATATTCAAGATATAAACACTTTTGCGAAAACGTAGCAAAGTAAAAACAACTAGAGAATTGAAAAAATTCAACTTTTTGACAAATAAGCAAAGGCGGACGTTAGAATCTTTATTAATTAAATGCGAAACTATAATTTTAATATTTAAAGGGGGGAGAGGGACTTTCGGCTAGCACTGAATAATTATATATATTTTTTATTTTTTTTAGGATGAACGAGAAAGAATAGAAAAACGTGGAGGTTGTGTTATAATGTGGGGTACGTGGAGAGTTAATGGTCAGTTAGCAGTATCCAGAGCAATAGGTAATAATTATTACACCTTTATTAGAATAATATAGTTATATATTATAGTTATAGTACAATTATAAGGTTAATTCTTACTTTTTACTTACGTTTGTTTATAATATATCAAGCCCCAATGGAGAAATATTCTTCTTCTTCTTCAAGTGCCCTGTCCGTTGCGAACGTTGGCTATTAACATGGCAATTCTGATCTTTTTTGCGGCGCTTCTGAATAGTTCGACCGATGTGAGCCCGAACCACTTCCGCAGATTTTGGAGCCACGAGTGTCTTCTCCTGCCTGGCCCTCGCTTACTGTCTATTTTTCCCTGGACAATCAATTGCAGTAAACGGTACTCATCGTGTCTCAATATGTGGCCTAGATATTCAAGCTTTTTTTTTTGTTTAATTGTATTCACGATTTCTTTCTCCTTTCCGATTCTTTGGAGTACCTCTATGTTGGTGACATGTTCGGTCCAGGATATACGAAGAATGCGTCGGTACACCCACATTTCGAATGCTTCTAGTTTTCTCGTGAGCGTCTCTATCAGCGTCCAGGCCTCCACACCATACAGTAAGATCGGAAAAATGTAGCATTTAACTAGACGTAGTTTTAGGGGAAGAGACAAATCCTTGCTTATGAGGAGCTTTTTCATATTGCTAAATGCTGCTCTAGCTCGTTCTATTCTCGCCTTAATTTCTGTGGCCTGTTCCCTTTTTGCATTTACGTTGGTGCCAAGGTACACATAAGATTCTACATGGTCAATTAGTATGTTACTTATCCGTAATTGTCGAGCAGGTTGTTGCTTTTTTGCTTATCAGCATCCAATTTGTCTTCTTGAAGTTGAGGCTCAGGCCGTATTCCTCACTAACTGAATCAACTCTTTCCATTACCTGTTGTAATTCGTCTATGGTACTGGCAAGGATCAGTCGTCGGCGTATCTTATATTGTTCGTTAACTCGCCGTTTATTTTTATGCCCTCGTTTGCATTTTCCATACATTTGTTAAATATTTCCTCGGAATACATATTGAATAGGAGTGGGGATAATATACACCCCTGTCGGACACCTCTTTTGATCTGCACACTTTCAGTGAGTTCGTTGCCAATTTGTCAAATGCTTTTCTAAAATCTACAAAGCACAAATACACGTCCTTATCAATGTCTCTACCGCTGTATAAGCACCTGGAGAGCGAAAATTGCTTCTCTAGTTCCAAGTGCTTTCCGAAAACCAAATTGCGATCTATCAATATTTGAGTCACACATTTATCATATATTCTTCTATGAATGATCTTAGTGAACGCTTTAGTGACATGATTGATCAAGCTTATAAGCCGGTAGTCATCACAGATCAGGGCATTTGGTTTCTTCGGGATTGTAATAAATGTTGACTACAGCCAGTTCTCCGAGATTTTACCGCTATTATATATGTTGTTAAAAAGTACAACTAGATTCTCAAGGAACTGTTTGTCTGATTTACATAGGATCTCTAATATTTCGCAGGGTACATTGTCCGGACCTGCTGACTTATTGTTTTTTAGTGCTGCAATATCATCTTCTATCTCCGATTTAAGGATTGAAGGTCCTGTTTCTCCTTCTCCATATAGGTGATCATCAGTCCTGTCAGATGCAAATAATTTTTCTATGTATGATTTCCATGTTTTTAAGATCGTTGATGGCTCCGAGATAAGATTTCCATCGCTATCTTTTATGCTGTTAGGTGACTTATTGAATTTCCTCTTGTTTGTCATCGATTTTATTTTTTGTGCATATTGTAACTATCGGAGAAAGATTATGCCAACTAATCCATGTTTAAAATTTGATAATTAGCAGCATTTATTTTCGTCACAAATGGATCTATAACGGAACTTGTAAAATCCCAGGCAGAATGCAAAGAGATGGGTCTTTTCAATCCAAGACGTACATTCTTATAAAGGAATAAATTGGGACTAGGATCACTTTTTAGTCATTGCCACTATGAAGCAAATAATTAGAAATATCCGGAAGGCTGTGGGATATAAGCAAAAAAATGGAATATAAGTAGACTAGGCAACGAAGCAAATCTAACAGAGTATAAAAATGCAATAGAGAAGGAATTAAATAGATATGACAATCTACTAGGTGTGGAAAGGCGTTGGTAACGTGCAGCATTGATTATAAGGCAAAAGGACGATGTGAGAATAAAATATTTACAACTAGGAACAAGAAGTCACAAGGAAGAGTACAGCTTCAAGATAAGAGGAAACACAAGTGTGCAGAAGAAAGAAATGAAGCACTATTTAAAGATAAAAGAGATAGAGACGAGCAATTAAAAAAAAAACAAAAGCCAAAATTCTATAGAGATGCGAAACACTAACAAAAGAGTTTAAACTTACCTTAAACTTAGTTTTAGTCTTAAACAAATATTACTTCTTATTCGGGTTTTCTCCCATTATGAGTTTGCTGTTTTCGTCCTCCATAGCACTCTATTTTCCCAGTCAGCTTTCCTGAAGTCTCTATCTATCATAGCATTTCCTATGTATGTTTTCGATCGTGTAACAGTTCTTCCTCTCCACCTTCTTCTCGACGGATCCCAGTCTAATATTTTTTGGCCACCTGTGCTATGACATTCTTTGTGAATGCCAATACCACTGGGGGGCTCTGTTTTTCAACTTTTTTTGTAATTGAGCTTTCTACTTTCATTCTGTTCCATATTTCCTATTATTATTCTACCCATCATCATCATTAACTTAGGCTCGACAATCCTCTGTGGATCCTGACCTGCTCTAAGATTAGTCGCCATTCTGTTCGTGTTCTGGCAACGTACTGCCATCTTCTGATCTCCAGTATTCCTGTCGGTCTCAACTACATCTAACCACCAAATTCGCGGTCGGCCTCTGTTTCTTCTTCTTATAGGTGTTCCTGTCGTTAGCTTTTTAGCGATCATGTTGTCAGGCATTCGTATTATCTGTCCGGCCCATCTAAGACGCTGTGTTTTAATAAACGTTACGGCATCTGGGTCATTAAAGAGTTGCTATATCTTTTCGTTTATACCTGCAAATATTTTGCGGAGTATCTTACTCTCGAACATTTCCAGAAGTCTTTTATCCTTCTGCGTTAGAGTCCTGTTTCCGCCCAGTATGTGAGGACCGGCCTTAGCAGTGTTTTATGTATAATAAATTTTAGTTTTTCTTTGGATATTTCTTGAGTGGAATTGTTTTTGGAGTCGATAGTATGCTCTATTTGTAAGGTTTATTCGTCTTTTAATTTCTTGTTTTATTGATAGTAGTCACTAGCGAGCCAAGTTATGTAAAGCTGTCAGCACGTTGAAAGATATGACTTCCAAATGATGTTTCCCGTTCCTCATTTGCTATAGGATGCTTAGTAACCAACATGTACATGGTTTTGTCTTCGTTGATGACTAGACCGATCTTTTTCGCCGCCGTTTCTAATTCTAAGAAATATTGCTCAATATCCCGCTTGCTACGCCCTATTATGTTAATGTCATCAGCGTATGCTAAGATTTATATTGATCTATTGTAAATAGTACCGCTATCTCTAATTCATGTGTCTCGGACTGCCTTTTTCAAGGCAATGTTAAATAGGAGGCAAGCCAGGGCATCCCCTAGTCCGAGTCCATTCTTTATTTGATTTGATTGGCATATTACTGTTCTCTTGACACTGTTGTATGCGACCTTGAAGTCCACGAATAGGTGATGGGTTTCAATGTTAAATTCTAATGTTTTATTGAATGAATTTGGTCAATTATTGATTTTTTAAGTTCATGCAGTGCTTGTAGAAGGTCGTCGCCACCATTCTTGTAGAGCTCACTACAAATTTGATCAGTTCCTGGTGCTTTATTATGTTTAACCTTTTTAATGGTTTGGGAAATATCTTCAATTGGTAGGTGGTCTTTCGTTTGAGTTAAATAGATTCCAATCATTTCGATCTACTACGGTATTATCTGTTTTTTGGTATAATGGCTGTTAAATTTTGCATCGAAAATCGGTTCATTGAGGCCGTATCACTTCGGATATTTACTTCTCTATCCTTACTCTAGCTCCCAATTCTTGGCTTAAACTCTTTACTCATTCTGTTTACATTTCTGTAGAATTTTTGAGTTTCCTTTTGATTTCTTAGCCATTCTATGGTTTTTAAATGCTTTTCTTCAAATTGCCTTTTTTTCTTCTATGTAATCTTTTTTCTTTCCTTCGTACGGTCCGTTATTCTTCCGTTGCTCTTCTTGTGCATCTAGCTTGATTTATCTTAGATATACTCTATTTTTGTTATATGTTGCTTCTTGGCACTCCTGGTCAAACCATTCATTTTGTCTTACTGGTTTCATTTCCCCAATATTTCCAATGCATTCTCAGTTATTATATTTTCCACAATTCGTCCACATTTTCCTCCGCTTCCAGTCTCTCTTGGCTCCTTTATTCCATTTGCATTTGTCACATATACTCTCACAACGGTTTCAATGCGCAGATTGTCAACATTAATTCTGTCTTGTTTTATATGTTTATCCTTCTTTAGGTTTAAAATTCTTCCTCTGATTTTTTAATTACAAGAAAATGATCACTATATGTTTGGACGTCGGTAGCTTCTGGCATCCATGACGTCGGAAGAATGCATTGCGTCTATTAGGATATGAACTATCTGGTTAACGCTTTTGTTGGCAGGTGATTTCCATGTTCCTTTGTATATTATTTTATGAGGAAATCATGTTTTTGGTGCTTGCAAAGTTAATTAGTCTTAATCCGTTATCATTTGACTCTTCATGCAAGATCTCACATCCTATAGTTGTCTGGAAAAATTGCTCTTTGCCAGTTTTTGCAGTAAGGTCCTCAGCAATTATTTTCACGTCATGACGTGGACAGCGATCATATTCTTTGTCTGAGGTGTCGTAGAATTCATCTTTTTTGTCGTTTTCCTTTTCTTCCGTGTGTGCCTGTACACCTGCGGCTATCGGGTGCTGTATCCGCTATAGTATATATTGTAGTCTTTTATCTCAATAATTCTTGAACCAGTCCATTTTATCTCTTGAATCTCTTTTAAATCGGCTTTCATTTTATCCAGTTCTTGTGTTAACAATTTAAGAGCGCCTGGGGCATAAAGGGTTCATACGTTCAATGTGCAGATCCGTAAATCGTTATTCCTTTGTCGTTTGCCAGGTCGTCGTTAATTAAACAGTCCAGATTTTCTCCTTTGTACTTTCATAACAATATTTTTTTAAGAGAAAAGGTCGTTAACTTTTTGCCCAACCCCCTAATATTCGAAGGCCCAGTTCTCTCGCTCTCGTTTGCCCTGACTCTGCTTTCCACTGGGGTTGGTTACCACAGTCTTCCACAGAGTTGCTCAAGTTACCGGGGTTCACCGCGTGGAGGTAAGAGTCGGAATTGAGTACGAGAGGCTAGTGACGCTAATAGGATAGAGCGTCATATTTTGCGCATCTTCCGTTCTCCATTCTCACTCGTAACCAGCACATCAAAGTCTCTGAAGTTTAGCGAATTCTGAGATCGGTGCCTCTTTAAACAGTTGGTAGAGTTCATGGTTAATAGGTCGAAATATCTTCCTTAAGACTTTTCGTTCGAAGACTTTCAGCTAAGACCACTTCCCTGTTTGAGGCTTTTTATTGCGGTGCGTTCAAAGTGCTCAGGAAGATTTTTGGGCATGTCTGAGAGCAGAATAGCGTACATAATCCGCATGAACTTTGAGCTCGACAAGTGAAGTAAACACTCCAATATAGTAAAGTTTATTAAATCTCATAGAATTCGTTGGCTTGGTCACTTGCTCCATACGAGCAATAAAAGAAGTACAAAAAATATTCGAAATATACTAGGAGGCTGTCCTAGAAAGCGTCGGTAAGAGAGTGTCGAGAATGATCTAAGGATTATGGATTATGACAAAAGGGAATGGAATGTAATTGCTAGACAGGACAAAAGCGACATAGTGTTGTAGCGCTATAAGAAGAAGAAGAGGTTATTTAAACCTGTATTTAGTCAACTCGCTATTTGTTTTTCTAATCTTACCTAAAAGAACTAGACAAACTTTTTACCACATTTGTAAAGCGTATAATTCTGAATGAATGTGTTAGTAAATAACTTGTCTCTAGGTTATTTACTTGAACCTCTTCTTGTATAACTAAATTAGAGAAACAGCTCCTAATTTATCCTACATTCAAGGCGCTCCAATATACATTTCATACACAAACTTACGGAAAGGATAAACTTTTTTAGTGATTTAACATTTTTACAAATTATTCATATTAATTTATTATAACAAACAATTAAAATCAAAATACGATATATTATAAATAATTTAATTCTTTTTGCAGGTGATCCAGAGTACAAACCTTTTGTCATTGCCGTTCCAGACATCCAGGAAATAATGTTAGATGGTGATGATTTCTTAGTATTAGCTTGTGATGGTTTATGGGATATCATTTCCGAAGGGACTGTTGCCAGGACCGTCTATAATTTAGTCACAGAAAATCCAGGTTAGTTTTAATTTTAGGTCCATTGCAAGGTGATCTATTCTCCCCTTTTAGCACCTTACATTTATTTTACACAGGTTGCGGCAGATAAACGGCCAATTAGAATTATCTCGAGAACTAAAAGTAACTGAATCATGAAAATTGGAATGAGGGGGTTTTGAAGATTGGCCTATTGAATGAAAATATTTTCATTTATTTGCTATTTCCGGTTATACCGGAAGCTGCTTATAACTTCGTTTTTTTAAAATTGGACCGCCTGTATATTTTTTAATTTTAGAAAGATTCACGTTATTCTGAACATTTTTTTGTTAATACTTTCCTATACCTATTGTAACGATATGGCATCCTTCAACCTGTAAACAAGCGTTGGGTGCCAATGTGTAACGATAAGACTACCAAAGAGAATTGAAGTACTATTATAAAAATAATACCTCAATCAACTATGGGAGCTTATCGTCTGTGCTTCGTTTAGCTCAGTCTCTTAAGTGTGAATCCGTCTTGTCTTTAACTATGAATTAAACAATGAAAATTCAGTTGGTAACAAATAAAACAATGAATTAACTAATCATATTTATTTAGCATAAAACCTCATAGGATGTTGTTGCCTCTAGATTTGTTGGTAGGTCTTAGGTGTTTGCCATTTGAGTGGTTCTCAAGACAGTTGCAGTCTATCTACCCATAAACTAGAATAATAAAGGTGTATTAGAGAGACATCATGAATTGCCGTTCTGAAGAGGCCTATTAGGCCGAAATACCTATAAGCCGATACACAGACGCACTATACGTAAAATCAAATCTTAACTGTCTTTTCCTTTTTTTAAATAGAATTATTATTTTAAAATTAGTTTTGTAAGATTCCCACATGCATGAAATCCAAAAGGTGGTTTTGGAAGAAGTGAGGTTATGAATATTGAAAATACTGCCAGAATTATAATTTATAGGTTACAATGAAAGTACTCGCCCCAAAGAGATTTCTGCAGACCATAAAATGAACCTTATTTCATATTTCCTTCTGTTATAAATTTCAACTACACACAAAAAAAATATCCCACCACGTTAGAAAAGCTGATCAACTGAAATAGCGGGGAGTGACTACAATGAAGTATATCACAGATACTATCATAGAACATATGTCTATGATGGAATTAGCTCTTCTGTCAAAATAGAACAGCATATTTATCCATAGATAAATAATATAATAGTAGAAATGATTTAGTCTACCAGACAAAAAGAGAGATGGCGCCAACTATTTTGTGAAGAAAAAATAGTAAAACAAAACTGAAGGTTGAGGTATTAATAAATTAATAAAGAAATTAAAATAAATTAATTGAGTTATAATAAAACAGCGGAAAATGTTCATATCCGTAGTATCGTCTTATTTCTGATGGTTGAAGACATGGTCTGTATCTTTAAGGATTTAGATCTGGATGTACATTCTCAATCTGTAGGTTAGTTTCATCCGTTAAAATAGGTTTTTTTGCTGGTGCTCCAATCAGACATTTAGCTATTTCAAGTGAAATTCAAGTAAATATTTAATTTTCTTTTTATGGATATGAGAAGCGTAAACTTGGGATTTGTAAAGACGCCAAACATTCACGACCGATAAATCAATAAAATGAAGTATTACCTTCAGAGTACATTTCTTTGTTTTTATGTACGTATTCCATACATTGATGAAGCACATCTACACCTCCTATATGTTGGTTATAGTTGTTAATAAGTTTTACCATAGTAATATCAATGTATTGTTTCTGCTTTTTATCCCATCGTTTTACTTTAACTGTTTCGTCAGCTGACGTGCAGTTGGATGCTACTAATACTGGTTTGTTGTCCATCCATTTAACGATGACCATATCATTACAGAGAAACTGTTGTGATTCACCCCGATTCATTTGGCGGTCTTTTTTAAAAGGTATACGTTTTCTTTCAGCCAATCTGTTAAACATTAACATTCCCGAACCATGCATTCCCAATTCTGACAGGCGTTCCAACAATGGAATTCAAGTAAAATATCTATCCAAATAGATACAACTTCTCGGAGGAATTGACTTGGATACTTGCAGTATGACAGCAGCTCCTACTCCAAGCGATTTATCATTAAAAGGTGTTCTCACTTCTTGGTAGACTTCAAATTCTATCATAATGCTGTCACTGGTTGCTGGTACAAACATTTTTAACTCCTGTGGACGCGGTTTAGTTTTGACTAGCTTGCGTAAGCTTTTTGGGCATGTCCCGCAGAAAGATATTATCTGTTCATCGATGGAATAATATGATGGAACCCTTAACAGTTTATCACAAGCCCTCTTCACTTTGGCTATAATCGGCTGTATCTTCCAGAGTATATTGAGATCACCTTCTTCAGCCGTGTCTCTATTACATGAAACGCTGTACGTAAAGTTTTAAAACGCTTGCGTGTAATTTGTTTTGTTATCATCTCAAGTTGCATTTCTTGTCTCCAATACATATGTAATCTGGGATATGGGATACATCCCATTATCAAATGGGCATGAACGAAAATCTTTAATTCTCTCATATTAGTATTGAGAAGATAGCCCGTTTTACGCATGTGATAATTGTTTGTGCAATTAACTGCGTCCTCAAAAAAAATCATCATTTAGGTAGTCCTCAACATATTCCATCGGCTTTCATACGGGTTGTAGGTCTTGATTAGGAAAACTATGACCTTAGTTAATTGAAAATTTACATAACTTTTTCGTTTGCTTAAATAACGAGTTTTTTCGCCAGAGAATATAAAACCAGTGTTTTGAAACCAGCTTTCAATTTTGTGTAAGGCAGTTTGTAATGTATGTGATCCCAGAGTTACATTGTTCGTTTTTAGATAAATCAACAAGTCATCTGCTTGTAGGCTAGTAAATACAGGTAGCTTTATTTGACTTACAATACTATTTATTGCAATTAGAAAGAGTGTTGGACTCCTTATGGAGTGCCGTTTTCAAGTACTCGTCTCGAAGATGTAAATCCATTGTTTGCAACTCGAAAAATTTGCGTTGTTAAAATTTTTTTAATAAAGGACAACGTATGCTCTTGAATGTTCCAATCTTAAAGTGTTTGTAATATAAAATGTCTCCATGTTGTGTCAAAAACTTTTCTTATGTCTAAAAATACGCCAATAAATTTTTGCTTGTGCAGAAAAGATTCATGGATTGTCGCTATCGATGATTTATTTATTTGAAGACTCCATTAGTTTTTTGTGTTCTAGAAAAAATATGTTATAATTGGAATCACTAGAATTGAGTTCGTATATATCTGCTAGTATTTTTGGAATATCTTCCTTACCTGAGTGCATTTGGCTATTATATGATAGAGTATCTGTACCTCGGAATTATTTTGTCCCTTTTATCCTACGGACTTTGTTCCATATGTTGCCTAAGAAAGTGGAAGGGTTTATTGAAGACACGTACTTTTTCCAACTTTCTTGTTTTTCTTTTTTGATTAATTGTCTGCTTTGAGCTCTGAGATTTTTAAAGATTAAAAGGTTTTCGTTAGTTTTATGTTGTTTGTAAACCTTAAAAGCATGTTTAGATAAAGTGAGTACTTATGCAGTTTCGTTATTCCACCAAGCCAAGGAACTGGCTGCCTTTTACTCGGTTTTGTTATCCTCTCTGTGATTGTTGCAGCTGAAATAATTTATCAAATTATTGAATATTACATTGAAATTTTACAATTTGTTTATATACTTTTGTTTCAGGATCTTTTTGAAAACCAAGTTACACCGCTTTCTCGTAGTCTTTTGTTTGCTTCTCTTTTCCAAGATTGTTTCTCCGCTTTCCTCGTTCTAATTTTACCCATTGTATGCCTTCAAAATCACTGGATACACTTCTTGCATGTTCTTCATTGGTAGTATTTTCATTGATGTTCAAATCTAATTCTTGATTTGATTTTGAAATTTTGTATTGTTCTTTATTCGGTGATTCTTGTGATATTTCTTCACTTATGCTGGCTGCGTTGATGTCCATTCAAATTTCGAAAGCTTCTCCTTGTTCTACACTTCTTACATTTTCTTCACCGATAGCATTTTTATAGATATTCATTTTTAATTTTTCACTTGACTCAGAAATTCCGTATTGTTCTTTTTTCGTTGCTTCTTGTGATATTTCTTCACTTGTGCTGGCTGCGTTGGTGTCCGTTAAAATTTCGAAAACCTCGTCATGTCCAGACATTTCAATCACTATATCATCAGGATTGTATAGATTAATATTATGGACTATAGCTGGCTTGGCAGGCGGAACTATAGGCGGGAGAATAGAATCAAAACTTGAACATTTTCCCTTTTGCTTAACATTTACATTAGAAGCAGCCGTTTGATCTGAAACAAACACGCTGCTTAAAATCGTTTGAATATATGTATTTGTAGAGAAATGCATATCATCGTGAATTTAAAACAATAGAATAGGTAAAAAGCAAAGACCACGTTCAATGTATGGATATGGGCACAATGTAAAACTAAACATGATGCATGATTAAATCGTTTTAAATAGTTAAAAGTTTTTAACAAACACATACTAATAACCAATTGATAATAAACGTCTTGGATATGTGATATTATAACAGTAATCAATATTATTTAGGCTCACTTGTTGTTTTTAAACATTCTTGCACTAAGAATTTAACACGTTTAGAAACCTTAATATTGTCAATATTCATTTTAATTTGCACAAAGTTTGCTTTTTAGTATTGCGGTATTTAAGAAATAATTTTAAGGTTAGAAATATTTAGGTTAAGTAAGTAATACAGGGGGTAGCGGGTAGGAACTCTTTAAACTCTTGAAGATAGTCCTATCAGGGAAAATGAATCAATCCCTGCCCTCCGCAGATTCCGGGGGTTTCCTGACCCGGGAAACTAGTACCTGTTTAGGGTCCCTTGTCCAGGGTTACGGATGAAGTCCACAACGGCAAACACGGCGGAGAAGCGGAGCTTCGGTACGGTGTGGATGGCGGAAGTGGCAACCCTCGATTTTAGGGTTGATATAGAACTCCTTTTAT